CTACTTTTTGTGGTCATGTACTTGATTTCAGCAACATAGTCTGTCCATTTAATACACATATATTTGTGTATTTGTTAAACAGATTGCCCTTCCAAGTATCGAGTATTTCTTCCATTCATTATATTGTCCTCATGGGCTGAATGATAGACAGGACCATGCCCTTGTGTATTGAGCCTTATTCTGATGTAAAATAAAGAGTTTTAAGTTTTCTACTTCTGTGGGCGTCCAAGAATCACAGACGTCCGGTTGAAAATTGGAAGGGCGCAAATCGATGCCATCCATGTCTACGATACACATAACAAAGTCTACAACACCTCTTTACAAATCCCTTTAAATGAAACATCATTGACTAGTCGTGGTATCTTATCCAAAATTAGCTCTATTTAACACCGATCAGCATTCATTGCTTCCTTTATATTAATTGTTAATTAATTAATTTGTCGAGAAAATATAGACTGGGATCATATGCTACCAATTAAATTGAGTATGCTATCCGATTGTCCTGGTAAAGAAATGATAATGTCAAACTAGAGTCTGTAGAGTGAGATAGATGTTTGAAACCAACAGACCTTGAGAATGTAAGTTGAGTTGAATTGCATCATTTTTGGGGTATCAGCACAACCGGCTTCGGCCAATGTTCTTATAATTGTTTACTTAATTATAACAATTGAGTAACAATTCAGTACATTATGATTATGTTTTATTTAATAGGGCAATCTAGAGTTATTCCCCTTAGATCAATTTTAGTATACCAGCTGTAAATATTCATTATGAATATTTGAATAAATCTGTTGTATACTGTTACTGTAGTTATGGGTTATTTCCAATATTCGATATGACGTAAATCAATAGAATTCAAAGCATTTTCCGGCCTTATTTACATATTTCATTACACCTATTTTACTATAATATAATATAGACTTGCTGTTGCACAAATTCAAATATTCTTTATCCTAAAAAATTGTAAATTATTTTGTATATAGATACGGTCGAAACAGTCTAATATAAGCATTATGCTTGTCTCTGGATCGACTATTGTGTATTCATGTATTGTATTTTCTTCTTTATATTTTGTACTTTGTATAGAAATAAATATTGTTTAAACTAAAGTATTTGTACCTTTCTTACAATACTGTTTATGAACTTTCTGATTCTGATCCTGCGCTGAAAATAACGATGTCGGTGTCAGTCTTGATAGAGTTGGTTTAATTTAAACGTACTATTGCTAATTTTATCAGATTTAAGCATGGTCGTAGAAATAAGGAATATGCAAGAACTAATGCAAGTATAGCATTTTATGCGAGTTATTTGGGTCTTGCATACATGTATATGGAAATAGTCTTCAGTAAAACTAGAAGTATACGAAAATTCCTTCAAAAATACCTCAAACAAGGAGTTTCATTCTATAACTCAAGTTTCTCAAGAAAAACATGAGTCATTATTTTAACTTTCAAACTTCCAGACGCAAGACAGTGTCCCTTTAAGTTATCTTCGCCCCTTACCCATTTTGTCCCTTTCCACTTCGCACCTTTTAAATAATATAACTATCCTTGTTACGATTTTAATTCCAGCTCTGTATGTATTTTGGTACGTGGGGTAGTTTGAGTTTGATAAAGAGCAGTCAAAAGTTCCAAACCACAAACAAAATTAGTTGGAATTATATGTAAATGTTTTAGGGAAATGGAAGCCATTTCGTATTCTTCAGATATCAATTTAATAGCAATTCTTTTTCTGTATTCAACTTACTCCTACACTGTCTGTCACAGGTTGGACGGACGGAATGCTTCGTATCTGTTTCCATAGATTCAGAACGAAATGGTAATAAAGTTGTTGATAACAGTAATCAGCAGAAATATCGCGATGTAAAACAAAAATACAACTCTAAGAGAAATAGTATTAATAAACCAAAGCGTGACGTTAATAATTCAGTTAATGCTTGTGTTTCAGATGATGGTATCGATGAAGATGAAATTTCATATTTAAGTGCATCTTGTAAAACAGCTTCGGCTTATAACTGTTCAATGCCTATTTCAGATGGTTATATAATAAAGTTTTAAAACAGGAAAAAAATATAACCACATTAGAAAACAAACTCAGGGAAAAAAATAATCATATTATTTCAATCTTCCATTTAAAAATATTGTTAGAAAACATGTTTCTATTACTAATAATATTGATAAAACAAAAGATTATGAATATAAAAAATATGGATTTACAGCAACCGTTAAAGGATATTCTGTTCAAGATTTTATGTTCCTCCAAGGTATTTTTAATGAAGAAAATTCATCATATTTTATTTTCCGAGGAAAAATATAAATTGAAATTACTTTTCCTTTGCAGGTAAAAGTTGATTCAATATTATTTACACAAAAATCAGAAACATCTAATCAATTTAACGCTCATAAAGTTCTTCAGTTTATCATTGGTAGAGAAAGTGTAGAAACTAAAGAATTTGAAATTAACGATGAAAACAGTAAGATTTTTCCCTACTTACATGAAATTAAAACAAATGGAAAATATATAGACAGGTTGAGAATGTTAATTTTACCAGATAAAGAAGATATTTGGATTGGGTAAATTTCATATGATATTGGAGACGGAAACTCCACCATCAGTAAGTATTATTAGAAATAGATGGAGATATTTCAAGATGAAAAGCACAAACAATTTATGAAACTTCTTGGTTTTAATGCCAAGACTTTTCGTACTATCTTTAGAAAATAATGTGGTGTAATAATTGGTGTAATGCTACTTGGCAAATCTGGGTATGGATTTGAAAAATAATGTTTTATATCATCTAATGTCCTAATTATAAAACCACCATATTCAGTTGGTTTTGGGGGATCTTTATGAGGTGAAGGTTCTGTACGAGCGCGAGTCTCTTTTTAATATCTTCTTGACATTTTAATATTGGTTGAAATAGAGTTTGTAGATTTTCTGTTAATCCAACTTGTTGTAATCTGTTATTTTCAACTTGAGTCTTTATTTTATTCTTAGCTTTGATATACTGTCTGTTTCTTTTTATAATATTATTCCAATCACCCATTTTTAAAGGAATGAAATTAACAATATTTGTTATAACTCTTTCACCTGCAGGTTTTCTAGTATTAACGAATACATATCCATGATCATCTGGGTTTCTCCATTGTGCGTTACAATCCTTTACAATGTATCTCTATCCATTCCGTGATTAATTGACTGAATAATTTGAGATAAATCTTAGTCGTTCAATGCCAATAATAAAAAACAATTTGCATTTTTTCGAATGAACATTGCATCCATACCATACAAAGATTGGGATTGGTAAATACAGTGACAGTTGTCTTTCCTTCGTGAAGAATTCTTGTTGAACAACTTGATTTCTTTGTGCTACACAGTCGTCAAACACTATTAAGTTCTTTCGCTCGCTATCAATTTAAGACAAATCTAAATCATTAACATTTTTCGTAAGAAAAACTTTTATTTCTGTTGGATTGAAAGATGGATTCTTTTCTTTTATATATGTATCTAAAATATCTTTTATTTCTATCTCATCGTTGTCTTCATAATATTTAAATATGTCTTGAACATCTTTCTTTGGTAAATATTCTAAAGCTTTGAGGAATTAACAATACGATTGCTCTGGTGTTGTTGTGTAGATAGATATATAATGAATCGAAATCTAAAATTTAAATGTTAAATATGTTTTCCCAGAACCTGAGCTTCCACAAATACACATAAGCATAGGGTTACTAGGAAATATTTCTGAATGATTAAATTTTCTGCCCATTTTTTATTCTCTATTTTTGTTCCAAAAATCACTCCTTCTCCTTTATACTTTGAAAGAAAGATTCCCCCTCCAGAACGTATGTTTTTAAAAACTATGGCATTCCCCTTATGTTTCACCTTCATTTCTCCAGTGTCGATTTTATCTATTAGATTACTTCATCCCTCTTTAACAGTTTTATTGGTATCTTCACTAAATCAATTTTTAAATTCTTTAACTGTCCTTAATATATCCGCTACTCCTGAACCTTGAGCTATTTTTTCCATTTCCATATTATGTCTACGTTTTTCACTTTTTTCAGCATCAGCTGCTTTCTTGGCGTTGATGGCTTGTGTTATTTCATCCACCCCCAGCTGTTGCTCCTGTCCTGGCCAGACCAGCAAATATCAAAGGTAGGAAAGGTAAAAATCCACCTTCCTTTACCCTCTTGTCAATTCTTTCCAAATCTATATCATCACGGACTTTAAAATGTTTCTATTCATCAATAATTGTTTTAGATATTTTAATCCTTTTACCATTGTAAGTTATTGTAGTTGGTGATTCCGTTTCGATAGCTTCTATTATTCTTTTTACTAAAGTTTCTGGTTTCATTTTTAAGAGGGTAATTTAAATGATTATTCTATACGAACCAACCGTCTGTTGGATATTTGAATTAAATGTTTTGCTTCTTCCAATAATAAACAATAACCTTTTACATCTACTTGTGTTTTTTCAATATGAATATTTATATTCACCCCTGTTTTGAAAAGATCTTCTTGATGAGCTGATTGATCAAAACAAAAGATTGGGTGATTAATTGCAAAATCTACATATTCAAACTGAGGTGAATTTCCAAATAATTCACACATATTTTTATAGTTTCTATACAATTCATTATAATCCTTTGTGGATGGATTAATTGTTAAAGGTTGGTTAGGATAATTATCGTTGTTTAATCTTACTTGAACTTTACGGATTATAGGATCTTGAGTTTGGTTCATTGCTACTCTAAAGATATTATTGTTATTCGTTTGAGAATCTGGTAAGTTCTTGAAACCAACTATTAAATATCTTGCTGGTTTAATAGTATTAGTGATTGGCCATGTAGTGGATTCTCCAGTTAAAGTTATGCTACCTATTGTGTTACGACGAAGAAAAGCTTTTTCAATATCTTTAGGTAACGAGTTGAATATTCTCGTTTCTACTTCAATTGATGGTGTTATTACGGGTATGAAAAGTTGAAGATTCATTATTTCTAATTTCCATCTGAAGCATTCCCTCCAAAGAATATCTTATCATCATTGATTTCTCTTTGTAGATGAATTTTATATGGTAACCCTATGGAAATTTTTCTGTGTTCCATCAGACCGAATAAAGAATATAATTTCCAATTTACGTAATTACCAAACCTATTATTCTCAACATCATTATTGTACTGAAGTACTCGTTTTTCAAACCCCTGATTACCTGCTCGTCCTACTATTTCTATTGTGTTTCGAGCAATAGCTCTCATTCTAACTTCATTTGCATCATTTGGAACATTTCTTACCGGTTCTTTTAAAACTCTTCCATCGCCAACATCGGGTATCCAGCCTAAGACTGAATCGTAGTTTTTGGGATATAGAACTGTTTTCAACTGTGTGTCAAATTCCCCAGGTTGTTTAATGGTTTCTATGGGATTTGAACCAGCTTCCAAAACCATTTCAGTAAATAAAGATGGGAAGAAATTGTTTTCTAAGGTTGTTTTGGTTTGGGAGTCCCGTCTTTGATTTTGAAATCGCATCTGAAATAGGCATCAGACAGAAGCAACCATTTCGATAATGAATTAATCTCGAAAGTGACCCTACCCTCATCATTTAGTTGAGACCGAGAGCCAGCCTTTGGTGATAATGTAATCCTCTTTTTTCTTATCAAACGAATAACGAATTGGATCATATAATTGAAAGATCGGATCTGTAATTTTTTTCTGCCATTTTTAAAGATAGGTTTTACCCTATTATTTGAAACCATTTACCCCCCTGGAAAATGCAGGAAGAATAACAAAAAACCAAAGTAAGTTTTAATAAATACAAGGAAATTTAAAACATAAATAATTACATGTATATTGATATACACTTCTACTAGATATACTTGAGAGTTATCTCCTCTCTTACACTACAGAATCGCTAGATATACTTCAGAGTTATCTTCCCTCTTACACTATTGCCAGTCATAGTTCAAGGGTCAAGGGTTACGACCGCTCCTATAGAATCGCTAGATATACTTCAGAGTTATCTCCCCTCTTACATTATTACCAGTCATAGTTCAAGGGTTAAGGGTCAAGGGTCAAGGGTTACGACCGCTCCAACAGAATCGCTACATATACGTCACATATTTTATCCTTTTCCAAAACGCTTGTTCTACAGCACTTGTTCTATTTTCGAAATCTGTATCAACAATTTTGAAACCTCTGACCTCACAGAGTTTGGTAAAATTCTTGTCCTCTTTATATCCCCCACTGCCTGCGATGGTTTAAATATTCTTCGTGATGTGAAATGTTGACATCTATTATACTTGTGTCTGAAATAGAACAAAATTGATATTTGGAAAACAACAAATAACCTATCATCTTAATTCCACCCCCTAGTCTTATGATTAAATTAAACAAAGACCATACCTTGATTTTGTATGATTAAATTCCTAATCTTCCAGCGTAACAAAATTGAGACAGTGTTAATAGTTGAGAGTTTAGCCTGTCGACGTGGCGTGCGCGTGTGGTATGTTATATGTTTATATAACCGTTACTTAGTTACTTAGTCGCGCATATCCAGTCAATAATAGTCTGTCTAACTGTTACTAGACGTTAAAGGTATTTATAGTGTGAGCTTTATTCAGTCTATAATAATTCAATAACTAGTAAACTGGTTGGTATTTTACTTTGAAGTAAACAAAAAACATTGTTACCTCCCATTAATCAGTTAAAAAATGTTTGTTTGTTCTAAATTCTTTATGAATTTCATCTGCTATTCCCATACCCATTTTCATCTTTGCTTTCAAGTGTTTAATGATTAATGCCCTTTGAATTCTCGCTTTAAAAGTTAGATTTGGAATATTTTCAAGTTTGGTTATCATTTGTTTGTCTGCTTCGTGTCTGGATGTTATGTCTTTATTTCTGTATAAAATATCCTGTATAAGTGCAGCAGAATCAACTCTGGTTCTTCACCTGGTTTGAGTTTATCGTTTTGGTCTAATCGCAGATCTAACCTTGTACCTGCACCAGTGTAATTATGACGGGGAAGATGTTTTTCTCTGGGGTATTTTGCCCTTGAAAATCCAGGAAGAGAACCAAATGATTTTTGAATGTCAGAACCGAAATAAGTTTTAGGAGTTTGAGCAATTATCATTGACATTGTTATCCAATAATTTTAAAACCATTGCCTTTTTTGTTTTCTAATCTTTTATTTCGCATTTTTCTTATATGTTGTAATTCTTTCAACTCGTTAGATCTTTTCACTTCATCGCTTATATTTACTCCTGCTTTTGCTACAGATCCAAGAGCTTGCGCTTTTGAGGAAATGAGGGATTTGTTGTTTGAGACAAAGTTGGCTACTTTTTGGGATGAGAGATGATAGAGGTGAGAAGAAACCGTCTCCTTAGAATTTGTTTTGTTCGTGTTTTAAAATTAAACTCATTCTGTTTTTAATTGAGTTAATTTGAAGATATTATAGGGCTGGGACGCCTGTGGGCTTGGTAAACGGGTACCCCTATAGGCTCTGGGTTTATTAATCGCGTGCCTGGTGGGGGTTGTGTGTTTGGTGGGCTTGGGGCGCCGCAGGCAAAGGAGTAGTATATGAGATTATGGATAGGAAAAAAGTGATTTTTTTTAAATCATAAAAGGTGCCCCCTTTCCATAATCTCATATACTACTGTTGTTGGATAAGTTATTTCGTGTGATCAATCGATTCCCAAATACTTTGAGTGCTGGGTAATCTTTAAAAATAGGTTTCCTTATTTTTTAGTGTCAAATTAAGCAAACTACTTGATTAATTGGTGTTTCTAATGAATTATCATGTGTTCTTTATTATATCATTATGTCCATATTACACATAATAGTAAGAGTTTTAACCAATCATAAATGTCCATGTATGTACAGTGTAGATAAACAAAAAGAGACTTTTTGACATTTTTCTTGATCTGTCACGCATTGGAATTCTGCTGGTAATCCTCTTCTAATTTAGATAATTATCAAACTATTTATGGAGACAATGTGAGAAAAACTGGTATTTTTGACTTCGCGTAGGCTGTTTTTATAACAGCAATTTTCAAAAAAAGGTTGTTATTAGCTTTTATTAGCCGAGAAAGACAGGATGCTATACCGATTAGTTCAGACAAACTTGGCTCGTGCACTAGACCAGTAATCTGTCCCTTAGAATGATACTACGTCTTAGAATAAACATAAAATTTAAAAATTTTAAACTTGACCGTGGACAGACTCATCAGTGATATATTCCCCTCCGTTGAGATGTCTCATTAGTTCATCGACAACCATTCAAAAGAGGTAGATCTGTGGAATAATACAACTGTTTAATGGAGAAAATTCATACAGTAGCGGATGGTAAATATAGACAAAAACATGTCAATATGCATATTCATTTTTTTTTACGATGGTTCTAAATTAGGACAAAATCCTAATTTTATTATCAAAACAAAAGATGGTTCATTTAAAAAGCGATTTATAATCAGACTTGTAGGCTTATATAAAAATATCTAAACACTAAAATATCTCATGAGTAAAATTTCAAATATAGGCCTAAAACAGATCCTTTTTTAATTAAAAAATGTTCTCTCATATCAGGCCTACTTGACATATTTTGACATTTGGTGTATGGAAATAGATGAAATACAACAAGAATCTAAAACAAGATGCAATTTGAGAATAAAGAATTTGATCCTGTCTCTATTATCAAGATCAAGATATTCAATGCCCACAGAGTCAAGATGGAAAATCACTAAAATCTGAGGAACAGGCCCGTAGTCTGACTTGATTGTTCGATGGGGCAAGTAATATATGCGGCGGGGCAGCTATTTTGAACATATTTTGATTTGACTTAAATATCTAAAACACAGAATTACAGATATAGAAATAGATATAGATATTTAGATATGTCAAATTTGATGAAAAGTGAAATTCAGATATAATGAAAGTAGCGCTAAGCAATAATTTCATTTTCAATGAACTCAATGATAGAATTTATTCAACAAATTAAAAGATAATTATAATGTCTAGATCTTTCAATAATTAGATTAAGAAAAATGGACTACTTTCAGAAAATTAATTTTTGTTTCTATTAAAGGTAGGCTCATTTTATGTATCCATTGGTACCATTTTATCAAAATTTATTTTGTCAACTCTCACTCTCACAATTCGTATATAAAAAGCATAAATATTCACGAAAATTGGTGTCATCGGTCCATATCCCATAAAAGGTCACTTACGGTGTTATCATGGAGAGATTTGTGAATTTCAGGCATGATGACGTGACGAAGGGTCCTAAGAGGGGGGAACCCTTCAATATGAAGTGGGCTTCTGTAACATCAATTTAGTTGTTTCGAAGCCTTTGATGTCAACGTCTTTCAACGCGACTTTAGCAACGTATTGTTCAGTTGCTGATTTGAAAATTCCCGTCTTTTGGTAAATTTTGATGATAACTGAGCAGCTCTCTAATTGTCCTATTGTTAATTTTTTAAATACAAAGTCCTCCTCCCAACGTTTAACTTTTTGCAAATCTATTCTCTGTCCTTTCTGTGTCTGTTTTTGTGCCGGTTGTATGGACACTTTAGCGAATAATTTTTCAGAATCTTCAAGGACAGGTGTAGCACGGTGTATAGATACAGTTAACAAATTACGTTTGTGTTCATGAAATATAGTAATCTGTATCTCATTATCGTCCAACTCGTGGTCGCTTATAGAGTCTTTAGTCGCAACATTAAAGTCAAAGAAAACATCATCCTCCTCGCTAAAGACTTCATCCAAACCGGAATTTGTGTAGGATGACGTGGGTGGTGTGGTCCTTGTGAGATAAATTTGTCCATGACTGGATGATTTCAAAATTTGGCCACAGTTCTGGGGATCGTGATTTGAATTATAGGATAACCAATCTTTAGTTTGGCTACAAGTTGATTGTCTTGAAATCGAACTTGTACATCGCATCCTGAATGTACGTAAATCGGAGAGGGCTTTGTTATTATTTTCTGATACTGTGCTCATTGACCTTTTAGTCAAGTTTTTCCGGGACACGATGATCCCTACCGCTGGTTCGACATTTTGGCGCCTTGAGTGATTTTTTAAATAATATTCCTCGTAATTTCGAATTTTTTCTTCCCGTTCAGACTTAGTACGGTGACGACTAGCACGAGTTCCCATCATATTGTACGTTCTTTTCAAGTCCTGGAACCTATCGCTCAGGTTTTCCAGTACTGACACAATCCCCGAGTTGAGAAAAACATCCATACCTGAAATGACAATAATTACAATGATATATGTACATGTCGGCCTCAATAAGATGTCCCAGGTCGAGCTGTCGACTGGCAGAATAGGAGAACAACAACTGGTACTGCTAGCACTTGGTGGCAAACCATGAAAATTGAATCTTTGCCGAACTGAGAAAACCGACGGCTGCAAAATCACAGTTTCTGTTGTGGATGAAGTCGTTGACCTGAATCATTTCGGTTTCAGTCAATGAAAAGTCTTCTCAATTCTTAGATGTGAGTTGAAAGCACATATCAACTACATCGGACATCGCAAGTACAATTAAAGCATGAGGAACTCACCTGTTTGAAATGGGAATTGAAAACAGTAAAGTTGTCTGACAGACCCTGATAATCTTCAGGATAATCCCCGAGGCGTCACAAATCTTGGAACTGGTACTGAAACACCGCAAGGTGCTATCTGGAAATTCTGTAATGTCCCGAAACGAATATCCAAAATCTAAGAACTGGAACTAGATCACTGTTGGAATATTTGAAGCGTGCTTACTGGACAGAAGCGAATTCTGTGTTGACTTCAGAACGTTTTAACTGAAATGACCAAACTGCAATGTCTTATTTGCAACAGGCATCCGAATCAAGATTCCAAAATATTTAGATGCGTCTTGTCTACTAAATTAACCTATGTCTTTAGTGAAGCAGGAATTTACTAATGCGAACTCCTGGATCAAACTAAATGCAAAAACCTCTGATGCCTTTCTTTAAATAAACCCGAAGGTGATAAGTGTCATTAAAGATGTAAATGGAACACCTATACACAACCAGAAAGAAAAAAAAACAGTTTGATGCTTTAATTTCTGAAAATTATTTACTATGGATGTTTTATTAAAGGACAACACTTTATTATGCAAAAGCAACCCGAAACATTAAAATTTAGAAAAACTCTTATGGCGAAATTGTGTGAAATTTACTCTTTTTCACCAAAGGGACATAGTCGTCTTTTCCTTCGCCTGCCCAATATGTTTCCGCGTGAATTTAATCTGGTTAAGATGTAGATGTAGGAGTATGATTGCATATTCATATAAGTTCACATTATTATTTTACACTTTATCATTAACTATTTATTACATAACATATAATTATATTAGCTTACAGTTTCAAGGTAAAACTAAAGTATCATTACAATGTAGCCTAGGTTTCATCTGTAATAACTATCTTTATTTGAGCTGTTAATGTTCTATTGTTTAGGTTAATATAAGTTAGTTTTGTTTTAAAACCACGTTACAGGGTAGGTTATTATTCAGCATTTATTAATATTTAACAGGCATAACTTCTACCTGTACCACATAAATGGAATAATGTAGTTACCTCCCTTTACGACAGCTCCCTACTATTGGCATTGTATCATTGTTATATAATATTCTGTAAGCTATATTAATCTGTACGGTGGCTCACTTACGACATATTTCACTTTTAATTTTGAATTAAAAACATTAATTATCACCTAGGTGAAAATTAATTTTGAATTAAAAACTTTAATTCACTTGGGTGATAATTCAACGAATCTTGTAAAAAAAGTTTTTAATTCAAAATTCTTCAATTATCACCTTGGTGAAAATTAAAGTTTTTAATAAAAAATTACACGAATTATCACCTAATTTTCTCCTGGGTGAAAATTGAAGTTTTTAATTAAAAAAAAAAGTGGAAAATGTCGTATGTGAGCCACCGTAAATCTGTGATATTTGAATATATATTTTAAAGGTTGTATTATATTGTTAATTTTGTAAATATATATTTCAGGGTTTTAAATACATGTTTGATAAAACATAAAACTGAACTGTGTTTTTGCAAACCACAATACTCCGAGATATTACAGGTGTATCATATTGTGTTTTATCTATAGAGTACAATACTTCTTATCTTTGAGATCCCTCTTTAAATCATTTCAATTTAAAATCTTTTCAATAGCCAGTCAATTACAGTGGAGTCATATATAAATTATAAACACTGTGTTCGAAACAGGCCATTTTTGTTTAACTCTTTACAATCGCTTTAAGAAATAGACAGGATCGCAGCTAGACTTGAATGAAATGCACTTCGGAAGAATATGGGAGAGAAAGAAATTATTAACATGTATGAGACAGTATATCAATTCTACAATAAAGTCCAACAATGATAAATGTTTAATTTTCTCAATTTCAAAGAGATAAAGTTTGATTCGACACTATCTCAATGTCATACAATGTCACACTTAATTAATCCGTCCGTATTTTTAGAAAAATTATTTCATAAGTTTGAATTATCATGAACAATTGGCAGAAAGGTGTGATGAAGTCTTGCGAACTATTTCACAAGATTTCTGGGGGCAATCGACGCAACTATACACATCAATTTTCAAGCGTGAAATTCCGACATCAGATTATCTTGCAATAAAAAAGTATCACGAAAGTCCTACGTGCCACTGATATTCTACCTTTGCACTTTTGGCCCAACACGAAACTGATGACAAATTCAAATTTGATAGAATATAGCGCAATACAAATACTTGTAAAGACGATTTTCAGTACGATTTATAGACATAACACTATGGAACAACAATCATGGTTAAAAAAAAATTATGCATAGTACAGGTACAGAGGTCTCTTGTGTTTTTTTCATAATAGTACAGGTACAGAGGTCTCTTGTGTTTTCTTCATAATAGTACAGGTACAGAGGTCTCTTGTGTTTTCTTCATAATAGTACAGGTACAGAGGTCTCTTGTGTTTTCTTCATAATAGGTGTAAATGTATATATAGTTTGCCTGTCACTTGAGACGTTGCTTAAAACTTTAACCAGTGGGTGTTGTTCCATCAAGCTGTGTCTATCTAACATGTACTTATCTGTATAGTTTAACTTTGTTGGTATACACAATAAACAATATTCATATTAGAGTTAATATTATAAGAGTGAAGAAGTTCCTACAAACTCCTATATAAAGCACTGGTCATCTGCTAGATCTTAACGCTCCCTTCACCCTCGGCGAGCTGAAGAAAGCACTGTACAGTAAGAAAGACAGCGCTACTGGTGAAGATAATATCAAGTACAGCATGTTAAAGGAGTTACCAATGGAAGCGTCTACAGTTCTACTAGAATTATTCAACAAATCAGTTGGAAAAGTTGGAAAACGGCAATGGTCATTCCTCTACCAAAACCGCAGAAAGATAAAAGTCTATGCAGTTCATACAGGCCTATTTCTCTGACCTCGACTCTATGTAAAACATTTGAGACGATGGTCAATAATAGACTTAGATACCACTGTGAACTACATGGTCTTATCGATCCCAACCAAAGCGGCTACAGAGAGAAACGGTCAACAATGGATCAAATCGTTCGACTTCAACACGACATGGCCGCCCAACTCGGAAAGAAGAACTACTTCAGCGCAGTATTCCTGGATCTGTCCAAGGCCTTTGACTTAGTCTGGGTTGATGGTTTGCTTTTTAAACTTAATAAACTTGGCATTCGGGGTCGCATGTTCAGGTGGATCCAAGACTTCTTAAGGGATCGCCAGGTACAAGTGAACGTCGCCAATTCTCTCAGTGAGAAGCACTCGTTGGAGAATGGCACCCCGCAAGGCTCTGTTATTAGCCCTACCCTCTTCAGCATTATGATCAATGATCTGGCCCTGGATTATGTAAAGCATATAGAGCTCTCGGTTAGCACGGCTCTATATGCAGATGACAGTTCGATATGGACTGGTCACAATGACCTCAATAAAGTTAAATGGCGTATGCAAACTGCTCTGAACCAAGTTGTTAAATGGGCAAACGACTGGGGCTTCATTATTTCGGAAGCTAAAACCGTCGGTTTGTTCTGCAGCAGAAAGAAAGATCACGACAGTATTGATCTTAGACTGAATGGTGTGAAGATTAAGCATGAGAATTCAGTAAGATTCCTGAGAGTACACTTTGACAAGTGTCTGACTTGGAGTACGCACATTGACTATATCTGTAACGGGTCTACAAAAATCTTAAATGTTATGCGTTATGTTTCAGGTACCACATGGGGAGCAAACAGAGAAACTCTAATGATGATGTACAGGTCACTGGTTCGTTCAGTTATTGATTATGGTTGTATTGCCTATAGCAAAGCAAGTGATACTCAACTGAAGAAACTCGACGTTCTACACATGAAAGCTATACGTATTGCCACCAGGGCAGCCGTAGGTACGAAGAATGAGGCGCTACTTCAGGAGTTGGGAGAGAAACCCCTCTGTCTTCGGAGGGAGGAGCTATCTCTCAAATTCTGGGGGAAACTTCAGTATTTGTCCGAAAGCTGTCCAACGTATTTCAGCATCAGAAGATTTACTCGTGTCGGAAATAACCAGAAGAATCGGAGTATTTTTTACGGGCAAGCGGTCACTGATCTATTGAGAAAGCATCAGCTCGATCAAGTAACGATCCTTGAACGACGCCTATCGGCTACTCCGTTTTGGAAGGTTACCAACCCGACAGTCAATACCCAGCTGATCCAAGCACGAGAACCCAGTGGGAGCAAGAGCTCGCGCTCTTGATCTCATTGATTCCGTGTACGTCGACCATTTGAAGATCTACACCGATGGTTCCAAGAGTAGTACCGCAACAGGTTACGGTTTGTGCATCCCAGCAAAAGGCATCCGCATCAATAAAAGGATCCCCCCGCACTGTTCAGTGTTCACAGCAGAACTTTTTGCCATCAGGGACGCGGTAGCATGGCTGTCCGTCAATTACACGGAGCATGCCGCGATTCTATCCGACTCGCTAAGCAGCCTCCAATCTACTTTTCTCACCTCTTCTAATTGCAGGTCAGAAGTTATTTCCGAAATAAGAAGAATGATCCACAACTACCAAACCAACAACGACCAGAAGATTGAATTAGTATGGGTTCCATCGCACGTCTCCATTCCTGGCAATGATCAAGCAGACCGTTGTGCCAAGGAAAGTCTGAGTCTGGAGGATATCGAGCTTGTAGAATACTCCTATTTGGAATTCTGCAGTATCGTGTCTTCTAGGATCAACCAGAAATGGTCCGACATGCTACGGAACCTCGACACCGCAAGATACCAGATTGATCCGAAGATACCAAACCAAACCAAACCAAACCAAACCATCCATCTGTAGCCATCTGCAAAGTGGCAACCAGACTCCGGACCAACAACTACTAAGTCAAGTCAAATCTTGCCCCCTCTAGAAAAATGTACCGGTCGCTTTTTTAAAATACACCTTTGCTTTTTCCAGATTCAATAGGAGCGGCAGGTAACTAGGTCTGAGTGAATGGCCAACAGTGGTCATTCTGGTCAGGCATTTTATGGTAGATTAAGTGCACCAGTCAGCTGCTCTTGCATTGTCGATCATATGATGAGTATTTTGGTATTTTGATTTTACGTAACGAAAAATAAGGTTATGGCTTTCAGGGCTGCGCTATGCGTAATGGTTCAACAAAATACTAAGTATTCCTATCTGTAGGCCTACTTAAGAACTGTTTTTAAATATCTTTCTGTTTATACTTAGCTGAAGATGAAACCAGACATCATAGCTTTTAATAACATTTTTAAATTTAATTACATTAGAATAGACAATTTGATACAATTGGGTTCGTTGAAAATCATAAAAAGTCTGCAGTAAAGTGTCGTTGGTGACAAAATTATTGGTCTGATACTGGATTGTAATCTGTCCCGTCTCAAAATTCAAAAGATATGATTTGTTTATTATAAATACTAACCAATAGACATATATTATCCTAAATTGTATTCATATGAATCAAACAACCCAAAGCAGGAAAATGGATAAATATTTGATCAAAAAAGACAAATTGCTTGATGGTTCAGACACTACTACGACTGACACTGGTATCAAAACCACAGCGGGCAACACTATAATAACATTAGCACAACTACACGAATATTCTTTGAAGTTATCGACTTGATTCTGAATGAGATGAGGATGAGATTTCAGGACAATCACTGGTTATATAGATCCACTCGTGCAATGTCTCGGAATTCTCAATTTTTTTATCAGGCGGCTCTGACACCGTTATCCAAGCTTGGAGTAGAAATTCCCTCTGTCACTGAACTTTAAGTGTCAAAACAATTTCTCCAAGATAACGTTGCCAAGACAGAAAAGCAGGACTCCAATTTTGTTCTTCAAAAACTATATGAGCAGAAATTGGCTTTCCCTATGCACTGGCTGCAAGCGTTGCCACATTCGGTTCTAGTACCGCTGTGTGTGAAAGCAGCTTTTCAACTCTTACTCTCGTTGACTCACAACAACGACGATCTATGACTCAGCTTTGCCAGCTCAATCTTGTTCTTCTTGTCTTCAACAGGAAGCGTACCCAGAAAATTAACTGGGGCGTATTGTTCAACGTTTGCCATAAAACATACCCGACTACATTTAAACTAAAACGGCAATAAAAACCCAACGTATCATACCTTGTGTGTTTTAACAAAAATAATCTCGAATCTAAAATACTCACGTGAAAGTCCGTGAAAATCGTCTGTTAAGGTGCTTTGCTAAATTGCCCACCTTGATTGCACGTTTGATAAAAACTAGAGACAGCAATGATAAAAACTAGAGACAGCAATGATAACAACTACAGACAGCAATGATAAAAACTAGAGACAGCAATGATAAAAACTGCAGACAGCAATGATAACAACTACAGACAACATTGATAAAAATTAGAGACAGCAATGATAAAAACTAGAGACAGCAATGATAAAAACTAGAGACAGCAATGATAAAAACTAGAGACAGCAATGATAAAAACTAGAGACAGCAATGATAAAAATTAGAGACAGCAATGATAAAAACTAGAGACAGCAATGATAAAAACTAGAGACAGCAATGATAACAACTACAGACAACATTGATAAAAACTGCAGACAGCAATGATAAAAACTACAGACAGCAATGATAAAAACTAGAGACAGCAATGATAAAAACTACAGACAGCATTGATAACAACCACAGACAGCAATAACAAAGATAGTGGACCACGCCCACTGCGGCATGCGGATGGTAAATATTAAAGATTTCGGGGCAAGGGCAATAAATCTGCTTCTTACGGTCGAAAATAGCTCAAATTCAAACTTGATCTTCGTTTTGTGAATATGAATACACATACCGAATTTCATTTGATTCCATTAAAAAATCTAGTTTTTAGAGCATTTACAAGCAAATGATGTTCATAGAAGCATCTTGAAAAATCTTGAAAAAGCCTTAAATTTAATCAGAAGTAAACTAAACTTTTTCAAACCTTTGATTTAGGTCCAATAACATCCATTTTAAGTTTCATCAAAATCGGTTGAAAACTAAGAGAGTAATAGCATATTCAAGATTTTGGAGCAAGGGCAATAACTCTGCTTCTAACGGTCGAAAATAGCTCAAATTCGAACTTGCTCTTCGTTTTATGATTATGTATACACATACCGAATTTCATTTGATTCCATCAAAAACTCTAGTTTTTAGAGCGTTTACAAGCAAATGTTGACGGAGCGACGGACGGACAGAGTGTTTAAGAGCAATTGATGTTGATGGAAGCACTTACTGTATAGAGGTTAAAGGGTGATAACTCCTCAAAACTGGCGTAAGAGGCCTAAATATTAAAAAAAGCCTTAAATTTAATCAGAAGTAAACTAACCTTTCTCAAACCTTTCGATTTAGGTCCAATAACATCCATTTAAAGTTTCATCAAAATTGGTTGAAAACTAAGAGAGTAATAGCATATTCAAGATTATGGGGCAAGTCGATTGATCGCACAAAATATATTATCCAACGTAAAATTCTGATACGGAAGCAGAAGCTACAGAAACTGTCCTGCATGGCAACTGTAATTTTGATTATAATACAATTATCATATAAGTTGTGCTATTTAGTCACGACATATTCTCTGAAAATCACGAAATATTAAATATTTATACGGGGGAGGGGTTTAAAGCAATGGATCAAGAGATCTGAAGGGGTAATAGAAAAAAAGAGGTTGAAAACTCCTGATATAACCTCGGGGGTAAACAGAAACAACTTTAAAATATTACAATATAATAAATTTTAATATATTAATAATCTTATTCCCGTTAAATAAACCAGATTTTACTATCAAGTGATACTCAATCTCATTATATAATGTTAACTCTTCCCAGGACAGAACATAATTCATAATACATATATTGGTCGATCAATTTACATATCTAATAGCTATTTAGCTGAAAGACTCGCTTTCCCTGAAACAGTACCAGATTGCCAGAAAACACAAATGAAGCAAACATGATATTCTTTGAAAGCGATAAACAAAAGGTCTTGGGTATATTTCCCAATGTAAAAGTCTTCACTTACGACAAATTCTTATCTCAAATTATTTTTATTCAACACTCAAATGAAGATAACTTGTGTTCCAAGTCATATGTTTGGTTGATATTTCAATTTAGTTTATCAATTTAATATATTTGCATCTTATTTGTATATAATATACATTATTCAGTAACAATTTCCAGAAACTGGCTTCAAATTTATTCTGAATTGTCGAGAGTAATTAAAAAAAGATGTCTAATGAAACAGATGATCTGAGTATAACCATCATCATTATGCTGTCTTATAACAAATTTATACAAAGATAGCTTGCCAGGCAAGGTAATATACGCCCACTTGCAGCTTTGATTTTGAATAAAAATATTTAGCAGTACAGTAACAATCACCAGTATGAAATACCGGGTATTCAACCTCCAGTCATACACTTCTTTTGAACTCTTTAGCGCAACACTGAATAATATTGAGTATGAGTTATTGCCCTTGTTCTTGAAAACGTGTTCAATTTTTAGTTCGTGAAAACTCTAGATGGCAAATATTCAATCTTCAGCGCGGGACTGAATAATAAAACCAAGTTTTGTCAAAATTCAGCAAAAATTATGCCTTTTAGTGTTTAAGAGCCAATAACTCATACATAATATTTTTCGATTCTTCTGATTTTCAATAAGGTTCATCCTTGAGTGATTACTAACACTCACCAAGTTTCGTTAAAATCCATCAAGAATTGTCCCTTCTAGGGTTACAAGCTAAAAATTGAACGCGTTTTCAAGAACAAGGGCAATAACTTATAATTAATATTTTTCGATTCTTCTGATTTTCAATAGGGTTCATCCTTGGGTGATTACAAACACTCACACAAAGTTTCGTCAAAATCCGTCAAGAATTGTGTCTTGTAGAGTGTTTACGAGCAATTGTGGACGGACGGACATGGGTGACGGCAATATACGCCTTCCAATTCATGTATAAAAACACACAAATATATACAGTAAGCGGTAAATTAGAAGCATTTCCCATATCTCTTGCTGAAAGGGACAGATTCGCCATTTTCGGGCTTGATTTCGGTCTTGAATATATGTAAATTGTCTTCAGAATTACTAGAAATGTACGAAAATCGTATAATTCGTAAAAAATCAAACTGGGAATTTCTTTTCAATATGAGTCTCGAGAAAAGACGAGTCGTCATTTTAACTTTTGATAATTTTGGACACACATGATTTTGAAGGCTCAAATTTCGACGGTGAGCTGTGAAAACTATAACTGATTAACTCGGCTAAAAATGAATCCTTTTTTTTTTTAAAAAAAATGATGAAGCTGTCCCTATAATACAAGTTTGACAGTACACTGAAAATAATATTATACAATTCTGATTTGCCATAAATAGTCAAAGTAATAAACATCATATTCGGCTTATACAACCCACGAACCTCATAACATCGAAATGACCTTTAGAAACAAAGGAGTGCATCATGTGCATCAGGCTCAATTTAGACTTAAAATTTGATTAGCAATTCATCACACAAATTTTAGTTTTCGCTAATCAAATTATCTAAGGTTATGATAAACAATTTGTCTGTTGCAAGCACTTATCAACAATAAGGTTAAAGTTATGACAACTGTTACAAGCAGTATGGTTAGGTGAAGTATTATCTTGTGTAGACATAATAGAAATTTAGACGATTTCTTGTGAATCCGGAGTTTTTAACTGGGGAGTTGGAGAAACATTGGTTTGATGTATTTCTGGGGAATCTTTATTTGATGAGGAGCTGGGTGATTTTTCTCCATCATCATCTAGTGACGGCCATTGAGTTGGTTGTTCTGATTTATTCAATCTTTCGTTCAATGCTTTTAATGCCACTTGCCTGGAAAATACAAAATATCTCCGATTTAGTAAGTAAAGCAGACAGGCTCTAAAAAAATTAGAGGAAACGGAAAATATCAGCCACTGGTTATGTGTCAATGCCGGTAACAGGGGTCACCTCCTCCTGAAACTTAAGAGATTTTACCATTTCAATACATAGAAATCTTCTAACAGAGCAATCAATTTGATGAAACGCATATGTGTATCATTTTACTTCCAAACATTCTCAAATATCAACAGAAGAAATCTACACCAACCACAACATATGAAAACAAGCAACCTCAATCAAACTTCATCAGTCAAACAAAATTTTAAGCTTTCCAGGCAAGGTAATATACGCCCAGTAACAATTACCAATATCTTAAATACAACTATGATATAAACATATAAAATACTCAGTCACACTTCTATTTGAAATAAAAATATTAAAATATAAAACATATGCTTGCAAGTATCGCAAGCGAATACGCCCACCAAAGCCAAATGTGAACTGTAAAACAATCGTAGCCTGTAGAGTGAGCACGAGCCAAAAAAGCAAAAAAAAAAAACGAACGCGAAATCTCTCAAAAAAAATCATCAGATCATCACCAAATCCAATAGTGTACATCTTCATAATGATACTGACACAGATACAAAACATAAAATAATCCATGGAGAATTGTAGCCTGTAGAGTGGGCACGAGGTAAATGTAAACGGACGGACCGACAGACAGGGGCAACTAAAAATATACGCCCATACTTACGTGTGGGCATATAAAAATATGAACATGACAAAATGTCTGTCAACAAAATCTGAACAGATAGCCCGGGAGGTGATCATTTAAACTAAACAATCTATAGTCACGTTGTTCCACTCGGATGTACACTTGGTATTACTTTTTGTTTTATTTCCGACAAAGGTAATGATAAATCTATTAACACAAAATCTAAAACATTTGAGAGCATTAAGAGTGTCAAAAGCTGATTTTTGTTATCCACTAATTACTGAGATTAAATATAGGTTTTTCCTTATCTCATTCCTTACATGGCTGGCCTTGCTACATCCTCATTCATTACCGTGCTGGTCTTGATACATCCTCGTTCATTACTGGACTGGTCTTGATATAACCTCATTCATTACTTGGCTGTAATAGTTGCATGTATATTACCAACATCAAGTACAAGTACTATATAGTTGCATGTATATTACCAACATCAAGTACCAGTACTGTATAGTTACATGTATATTACCAACATCAAGTACAAGTAATGTATATTTGCATGTTTATTACTAATATCAAGCACCAGTACTGTATAGTTGCATGTATATTACCAATATCAAGCACCAGTACTATGTAGTTGCATGTATATTACCACTATCATGTACAAGTACTGTATAGTTGCATGTATATTACCAACATCAAGCACCAGTACTGTATAGTTGCATGTATATTACCAAAATCAAGTACTTCTACTTGAAATGAAAATATAAAAAAACAAACAAAATGTCAACAATATCTGAACAAACTGATAGGCCCAGGTGCTGACCATTCAGTCTAGAGTCATATTGGTGCACTTAGCTGTACACCTGGTATAATCTTTGTTTTTTTCTGGAAAAGGTGTTGAAAGATTTATTCACACAAAATTTATATAAGATTTAAAGGAAAAGTTTATTACAAATTTAAGTAAATATGTATGAAAACAACAAATCAAGTACCAGAGCTGTTTCATATTTAAATTCATGTTACCAAAATCAAGTACCAGAACTGTTTTATGTTTGAATTCATGTTACAAAAATCAAGTACCAGAAATGTTTTATATTTAAATGCATGTTACCAAAATCAAGTACCAGAACTGTATTATATTTGAATGCATGTTACCAAAATCAAGTACCAGAACTGTATTATATTTAAATTCATGTTACCAAAATTAAGTACCAGAAATGTTTTATCTTTGAATTCATGTTACCAAAATAAATTACCAGAACAGTATTATATTTAAATTCATGTTACCAAAATCAAGTACCAGACCTGTTTTATATTTGAATTCATGTTACCAAAATCAAGTACCAGAACTGTTTTATGTTTGAATTCATGTTACAAAAATCAAGTACCAGAAATGTTTTATATTTAAATGCATGTTACCAAAATCAAGTACCAGAACTGTATTATATTTGAATGCATGTTACCAAAATCAAGTACCAGAACTGTATTATATTTAAATTCATGTTACCAAAATTAAGTACCAGAAATGTTTTATGTTTGAATTCATGTTACCAAAATCAAGTACCAGACCTGTTTTATATTTGAATTCATGTTACCAAAATCAAGTACCAGAACTGTATTATATTTGAATGCATGTTACCAAAATCAAGTACCAGAACTGTATTATATTTAAATTCATGTTACCAAAATTAAGTACCAGAACTGTTTAATATTTTAATTCATGTTACCAAAATCAAGTACCAGACCTGTTTTATATTTGAATTCATGTTACCAAAATCAAGTACCAGAACTGTATTATATTTAAATTCATGTTACCAAAATCAAGTACCAGAACTGTTTTATGTTTGAATTCATGTTACCAAAATCAAGTACCAGAACTGTATTATATTTGACTGCATGTTACCAAAATCAAGTACCAGAACTGTATTATATTTAAATTCATGTTACCAAAATCAAGTACCAGAAATGTTTTATATATGAATTCATGTTACCAAAATCAAGTACCAGAACTGTATTATATTTAAATTCATGTTACCAAAATCAAGTACCAGAACTGTATCATATTTGAATTCATGTTACCAAAATCAAGTACCAGAACTGTATTATATTTGAATTCATGTTACCAAAATCAAGTACCACAACTGTTTTATATTTGAATTCATGTTACCAAAATCAAGTACCAGAACTGTTTTATATTTGAATTCATGTTACCAAAATCAAGTACCAGAACTGTTTAATATTTTAATTCATGTTACCAAAATCAAGTACCAGAACTGTTTTATATTTGAATGCATGTTACCAAAATCAAGTACCAGAACTGTATTATATTTAAATTCATGTTACCAAAATCAAGTACCAGACCTGTTTTATATTTGAATGCATGTTACCAAAATCAAGTACCAGAACTGTATTATATTTAAATTCTTGTTACCAAAATCAAGTACCAGAACTGTTTTATATATGAATTCATGTTACCAAAATCAAGTACCAGAACTGTTTTATATTTAAATTCATGTTACCAAAATCAAGTACCAGACCTGTTTTATATTTGAATGCATGTTACCAAAATCAAGTACCAGAACTGTATTATATTTAAATTCTTGTTACCAAAATCAAGTACCAGAACTGTTTTATATATGAATTCATGTTACCAAAATCAAGTACCAGAACTGTTTTATATTTAAATTCATGTTACCAAAATCAAGTACCAGAACTGTATTATATTTAAATTCTTGTTACCAAAATCAAGTACCAGAACTGTTTTATATATGAATTCATGTTACCAAAATCAAGTACCACATCTGTATTATATTTAAATTCATGTTACCAAAATCAAGTACCAGAACTGTATTATATTTAAATTCATGTTACCAAAATCAAGTACCACAACTGTATTATATTTGAATGTATATTAATTGATATTGATAATTTCAACTGAAAATCGGCTCAATAAAAGTTGTTACACTTTGTGTGATTAAGCAAGACTTCGGACATACAAAATAAATAGTCTGTTTTACAGGCCTTTTTTTTCAAAAATAAGGGCAAGAGGGTGAATTTATAGAGGGATAAGAATGCTTAAAGTTTGACAGTAAGGTGTAAATTGACAGTAGGGTGTAAATTGGTAGTACTGATTAGCTAAATAGCTAAACAATTCCAGTTTCTGAAAGGCATGATAAAATCGATTGTGAAAGTGGCTCTTTAAAGTTGTTTTTTTTTATTGATCTTGGACAAATCATGCTTATTGTTAGATCAAATGATAATGAAATATCCAAAAATATCTACCACTTCTGACAATGATGCACTTCTAGTAGACTGTCTGGTTTTGGTCCAACGTATGCAGAACTGGAATAATTAACAAGATTAATGTTTTTATAGTGAACTTAAAATATGTCAACAATTTGTTTAATTGTGCTTCCTTCAGCAAACTAATGCATCTTCCAATGTTTAATTGTCAAAATCAACATCACTTTTAAGTGATATAAAAAGAACCATGACTTAAATCTAGAAAAAACGTGTTCCAAAGAACTTCCGGTTTTACAAAAATAACTCAAGGAAAATAACTCTATTTTACACATTATTTTGGGTGGGCGCAAGCATAACCACGGTTCATTCAGCACTTTGCCTCAAAAATTCATAGACTTTTCAAGGACTCTCGGTTTTGAAATTCAATGACTTTTCAAGGATATTAGTCTGACATAATACACATGTACCTAACTTCTGAACTGTGAAATCAATAAAGACAGTAAATGGAGTTAATCTGTTCTTTGCCTGAAGATGTGTGTGTATTTGCAAATCATCAGGACGTTTTGTCTCCATAACGTGTATATGTGTTGGCAAGTACTGGTGGTGCTGACAAAAATGGGTAGTTATAGCCTAGTTCTTAAAACCAATAAAATTTCTGCTTTCATGGCAGCATTACCAGCAGTGTGACACGTAACTTGTCACATCGCTACTTGACCTACTTTGAAGAGGATTTTTTAATTGGTAGGGATTGTCACCGCCACCAACATTTGAAGACACTGCCATCATCTGTCCTTCCATTGACTTCATCAAACTGACGTGTTTTTCACTACTCATGTGAGATTTCACAGATGCTTGTCCCATTTTTGCAAGGTTTATAGTTTTGTTACAAATTGAACAGAGAGCATGGTTTCGGTTATCTTTAACCTCCATTTACTAAATTCACTCATTTGTAACCACGATCGGTTAAAAGTACATCTTCCGGACATAGCAATAAACTTAGATTAGAACAATGGCGGTGATCAAGATGTACATGTTATTAAGGAGACCATTTTCAAGTGGGCCCAGCTCTGAAATATTACTTTTTTTCAAACAGGTCATTCTGCCAAATTAGCGAAAAAAATAACTAAAATTCGCATATAATTGGGAATTGATCAAATACAGTGAAAATTAAAAGCATGTTATTAATTCAAGTTGATAGACATCGCGAAACGTGAACTTTTAAGTTATATATAGTAACATAATAATCACTGACTCGATCACCATGGTGTGTCCGCGTATTAAATTGTTAAAAATATACACATTTGCAATTTGACTCAACTCAAAATTCAAGGACTTTTCAAGAGAAATTGAGTTTTTTATGGTGTTTTCAAAGACTTTTTTTTAAATCAAGGTATTTCAAGGCAACAGACGTAATTAAAGGGTTTTTCAAGGCTGTACGAACCCTGATAACTTATCAATTACTTAAATATATCAATAAATAGATTTGGAGTCAGGGTATTTGACTGGAGCGCACAGGGCCTGTAAATCAGACTATTTATTTTGGATGGCCTTAGCCGTTTTAATGAAAGGGAATGATGTCCATCGACCTGAAAAAAAAGTATTAGATTAAAAAAATGGATCATGGTATACCTCCTTCTCTCAGCATCTTGTGGGTCTGTACCAGGCAAACTGATAGTTAAAGTAGTAGGTGAACTGACATCATAGCGTCTCTGGGGTTTCTTACATATCTTCAGTTTTACCAGACCCAGAAATATTGTGTTGGCTAATATACCCACTATAGGCTGTAACTGACTTGGAAAAAAACTGAAAAATATAATTGTAAATGGCTAGATATATATTCTCAGACAAATATATTTGCTCACACCTAAGGAAGCAAAGCAGAGATATTGTATAATCTAAATTAAAAACACAAACAGTCCATTTCTTTAATGTAGATAACTGTATAGTACTAATTGAAATTATAAGCTTCAATGCTTATATGTTAAGGACTGCTCATTTCGATGTGCAAACTTCAATGATGCCTGTCCTGTTAGGACCGAATGTCAAATATTAAGGGTGTTGTAATACATGTCTAATACTTCAAAGTTTAAACTCAACAAATTTTTATTGATTTGATTTCAATATTGTCTGATAAAAACACAGGCTGTTACAGCCATTAAATGGCTATATTGACTATAGATGAACTGTAAGTCACAAGGGCAAATACCCATGGGCTATACAAACTCTGTGTTAAGTTTATACAGTCACCCATTAACAATATATTTTCATATTCAGCTTTATGTGACCCACCTCAGGTACAAAACATTCTTGGGCCTACCAGAGTTCATTTTGTAAACAAATCAAAGCATCAACCCTAGTGGCCTCTCTAAGCTGCATAACTACATGACATATACCAGACTGCTATAACAAGGGACATCACATTAAGTTAATGTCATACACTTGGAGACAAAATACTTGGAAATCATTGCATTTTGGCAATGGTCAAGGTATAACAAACTTCGTCTTTTATCTTGACTACAATAGCCATTGTTCTTGTATCACAGCAATTTGTAAATGCAGTGATTTGATTGGATTGTACACTAGCAACTACAGCCAATCAGATGGGGTAAATGATGTTTTATCTTATTCAATCTGTGTGGAAGGGATAAGGGACTAGGGTCAGACATTACCTTCCAAAGCTAAAGTTATCTGCCATGTCTCCACGGTTACCATTACTATGTTTCTGGTAAAATCTTAAATAAATCCAGCTAACGACGATTCCCCAACCGAATAGATATGGATATGCACTGTCCAGTAGACCAATCAAACGTAGAGTTACTGCAGTCACTAATAACAACAAGGGAATGTGGGTATTCCGTAACTTTCCAAACGGTGACGTAAACAAGATATGATCAGGCATTACTTGTTTAACTGCTACGGAAAAAGCAGCTATAAATCCAGCCAGTCCATATATATGAGTGTCAAACAAGTAGTCTGCATTTTTAGTAATAAAATACTCAAATAAATAACAAAAAGACGTTAACAACCCAACACTCACATTTACAATAGAAAAGAAAATCAACATGTCCAGTGCCCCCCATAATGGTTCTAAAAGTTTCCCACACAAAACAACCACTGCAATGTCTATCAAAACGTCCCAAAAATGAAATTCTATGAAGGCATAGGTGATAAGGGAGTAAAATCGAAAATTTGGAGGAATAACATAGCCAGGTGTAATGGTTATGTACGGAACGGCCGATGTAATGAACGTGAGCAAATAGCCGACGGTCACCGTAGCCGCAACAAACTTCACTACAACGCTACTGTTGCCAACTGCAGCAGAAAACTGCTCTTTAACGAATCTAATTTTATTATTTGCCATGGAGGTGGCCATCTTGCATCTTGACGAAAACAATAATGACGTGAAAACTGGGTAGCGGAAATAGTTTCATTGCATTTGATAAATGGAGTTGCTTCCCTTACACGATAAAGTTGCACCTACCGTCGAAACAGCCACATTATAATCTGAACCAAACATTAACTCATATAACTCAATCTCAACATTTTGATTTTCATTGTACAAATTGTCTCTAAAACAATTAATCACGACGGGCTAGAGTCAAATTTATAATTGTAAATTCATATTCATCTTGCTGTAAAATTTTAGACTATATTCAATGTATTTTTTCAAATTACTTGAAAACACCTTGTTTTATCGAAATTGCAAGAACCATAGATGATTGACGATATATCGGTGAATCGATGTATCGCGATACATGCCAAAATACATTTATTGTTTCATGAGGTCGTGTATCGATATCTTATGATAGCTCTCATTTCATACTAAAATGGGGATTTCTTTTATAAGTTTAATGATATAACAATTTTTTTTTCACACTTTTTATACGACAGTGGACGCTAACCACACTTCTAAACTATATCACCAAATATCACAGTTATAAAGTGAATAAATATATATAGAAACTTTGAAGATAAAACGTTAATTTTTAGCCCATATGATATGTATCATATCGTGACCCTCGTATCGTGATACATATCATATCATGGCTTGATTGACGATACCAAACACTATCAGTGTCCCCGATATAAATCAAAGTTTAAAAACCTTTAAAATCCCTTATACAATATATTGGTAAGTTATGTATAATCTACCGATGTTGTCGGGTTTCTACCGCTGGATTCCAGTCAAATTACTGTAAGCCTGTTAAGAAAATATGCTGTTATATTGTAATCGATATAATAAATATAAGGGTTTTCATCAGTGGCGACGCCAGCCCCCTGAGACTGGTGATAGAATAGAGAACATACTGTCGAGGTTCAATTAAAAATGCAGCAGTTCTGTGGAGGTTATAAAGCAGCAGGCCTCCCAAGAAGAAAATTCTTCTTTTCCAATCGGTTTCCCAATATTTGGCTATGACCTTGACATATTTCCACACAAACTTCATAAATTATAAAGCTGACCTTCATTTCAATAACAAAATTTAATATCAGTGTTTATGACATGATGATGATTTATGTGGTTGAAAAATGATATAATATACACGATAATCTGAAATATGTGATGAAAATACTTTAAAAATTACACAATGTAGATAAATCAAGAATAATCTGATCTTAAGGATATTCGCACAAACCTTGTGTTTCCTTGAGCTTTTAATACAATATTTCAATACAGCATGATCTACTGTGAAGGTTGCACAGTCAAGTCAATCGAAAATAATTGAGAGCTGATATATATATATATATATAAATATATAAATATATATACCAAACAATTTGTGTATATATGCTGACCAATTTGTGTATATACTGACCAATTTGTATATAAACTGAACATTTTGTGTATAACTGAACATTTTGTATATATGCTGAAGAATTTGTGTATATGCTGACCAATTTGTGTTTATACTGAACAATTTGTGTATATACTGACCAATTTGTATATAAACTGAACATTTTGTGTATAACTGAACATTTTGTATATATGCTGAAGAATTTGTGTATATACTGAACAATTTGTGTATAAACTGAACATTTTGTGTATAAACTGAACATTTTGTGTATAACTGAACATTTTGTGTATATGCTGAACAATTGTGTATATACTGAACAATTGTGTATAAACTGAACATTTTGTGTATAAACTGAACATTTTGAGTATATATAGACCCTTGTGTATATGCAGATCAATCTGTATAGAATTAGCACTTCTTAATGTACATTTATTATTTATATACAATATTTACAAGACTACAAACACTCAAGAGTTTAATGTCTAATTCTGTAAGCTTGGCAGTATCTGGAAAACTAGATTCAACTGAGCATTTTATTCACATGAGCCAACAACACATCTTTACTGGTACATTTCAGGTTCTGTTAAAATTTGTGGCTTCAGTTTCCCACTCAGTTTAAGGTAGACAAGAAAAATGAAAACTGTCCAAATTTCAAACAACAATCCTGCGTTGTTTCATACAAAACTTCATCATTCCGTTTTTCTTCTGTGACTGAAATATGACCAAAAAAAAATTAATTATACAGGCAAACATCATAACTTTACGAAAATTTAATGGGGTTTTGTCTTAGTGTTTGTGCCAGCCTCTTGAGACAAGGATTACAAATGTGGGTGGGGGGTGGGGGCTAGGGATCTGAGGAAGTGACAAGGTATGTCTGAAAGGGCTCTCCAGCAAGAAAATCAAAAAAATTGATGTGGTGCATTTGGACACATACATTTGCGCAAAAATAAAAAAGTATAAAAATGATATTATTGGGGTAAATTATAGTAGTTCACACCCACTCAGCACACATATTTCGTGGCAATAGGAGCTATATATCAAGACTATAGGCTTGGACTATTTTAAAAAAGCCATTTTTGAGAATTTTAACAACTAATATTTCGCAACTAATATTGTAGTCTTTTGTCTATATCAAGATGAGATGTTCATTATTAAAAGTGTTACTGTCTACTAATATTTTACATCATCAGCTATTCAGACAAATATCAAGAGCACCATGCAGAAAATTTGCATAATTGGACACTATCTTTGGCAATTTCCTCAAACCTTCAAACCTTCATTGAAGTAGAAAATTCAAGATCATTGATTTGAGTTCCATTTCTCTAAAAAAAAACAAACAACACTTTTCCTCATTTAAAAACCTTGACAGAACAAAAAGAAACAGGTAATAACGTTTCGAATTGCAAGACCAAACTCAAAATCCAAAATAAGTTTGGTAATACATTGGTTATAATTGAATAAATATTTCATTATGAAAAGTGATACCAGGTATCTAGAAGAGTAATTATCATACCCTGTCTGGTGCCACAGATCTTACATAAAAACACTTCAAGGTCAGAGAAATTTTGATCTAAAAGTACTATGATGAGATCTGTCTGGTAGAAGTCCCCATAGGATACCTAGACAATTAGTCTCACTTAATTCCAATTTGATGAATAAAAACAAACACTTAACTTTATTTAGAATATATATTAGGCTAGTCTACCACTGAATTATCAACCCGTCAAAACTGGAGATCTTTTAATTTCCAGATTGAAAAATATGGTTAAAATTGATTAATAGTTTATTGAAGTGACTGGATGAGAGAGTTCTATGAATAAATATAACTTTAATATCTCTATAGTCCTACATGACTGTTAGAATCCACCAATCCTTCTATGAGATGGCTACTTTAATTTCAAAACTTAAAATTTAAGGTGCCAACCCAGAGAGAGGTGACAAAACCACTATAAAACCTCTATAAAAGTGTATGTCATTCGACCCAAATTTAATTGGAAACCAAGTATTATAAGACCTTAAAAATTGATTTTAAATTTGGTTAATCTGATTAGATTACTGTATCTTGATATTATCTTAGTTAAATTTTAAACTCAAACTACTAAGTGATGATTTTTTAGAAAATTCATCTTGAAATAATATAAAACATGAACTTAATTCGTAAAGATGTTGACATAATTAAATCAGACTTAGAATTAACGAGGCTAATTTCCCTCTCTTCCCCTGTCAGGAAGCTGTTTTGTCTTGTACAGTTAATAGAAATAATAATGATGTATAATGAAAGACTGTTAACAGACAGATAGGAAATAAAATATCTTCTACACTGTCTACACATATCTTTTTGAGCATTTTAGAAGATCTCTAGGTCTTGAGAAGAAATCAGTAGGGTAATAATTTCCCCAAGAGCCACCCAAGTTCTGAGAGAAATTTAGTAGCCCTTTCGCCTTGTGAAAAAATCCAAAAGGTTTAATTCCCTAACTTAGCTAGACTCAAACAACACATGACTCCAAGGAGTCGGGCAAGAGTCTATCTGACTGAGCTACCCAAGCTTCTAGTGAAAAGTAAAGTTACAATGTACAATGTATGATAAATAATACTAACCTATAGAACCAACTTCTGGTTTAGAAAATAATGATGGTTTCTGTGTTCTCTTCCGACAAATTATTTTAATAACACAACCTAGATCTTCTAATATCTGAAACAATCATACAAGATGAGGAGAAATGGGCTTCAGATCGCCTAATAAATGCACTGGCCTTTGCTTAAAAAATGTCCATCTATGGTTTTTGACTTCCCAGAACCTAAAAGTCTAAGAGTTAACAATCATCTTCACTTTCCCTTGACTTTCTATCAAATACGCCTTGTGCTACAATATTGGGCTTCCACAAAACTCATAACAAATTGCATACATACCTCCAGTAGTTCTTGTGTTGCCACTGGTTTAAGATAAGGATCAAATTTGTCTTCTACAGATTTCCGTGGACAAGATGGACTGGCCATAATAAACAACAATACACCTTCTAACATGGAGCTGAAAACACCACGATTTAAATGACCTTCAGGCTTCCTCCAAGGTCGACAGATCAACCGTACCTTCTCATATGTACTACAAATACATGAAATATTGTCACTCAGTGGCATTAGTCAGATGGTTAAAACTATATCCAAAATTATTTTATAAGTTGTGTGGATGCTCTAGTCTAAATAGGAGGCAAATGTCTCGACTCGAAGCCAAAAATAACGCTTTTATCTAGGATCTTATGTTCAAAAAAGCACCAACAAAATAAGGATGCAAGAAAAAATAACAAAATCTGAAAGAAAGATCCAAGTCTCTTACCTAATAGCTGGTGGACCAGTTGATTCTTCAGTATCATCTCTACGATTGGTTCTTCTTCTTTTTGAAGATCTTGTTGGTTGTTCTGGGGTATCTAATGGTCTCTTAGTGGACTTTGATCTTGTATCATCATCTTTTTCTAGAGCTTCTGTTGATGATGTTTGGTCTGAAACTACATGTTCTGCTGACTCACAAGCTTGTTCTTCAGCAGTAGCAACATGTTCTGAATTGGGTTGGAGAACTTGAGATGAATCTTCAGAATTTTTTGAGGAATCTTGGATGCTGATACTTGATTGCTCTTTGGTTTTTGCAGGGTTAAGGGTTTGTTCTGGAGCAGATGTAGGATTTCCAGACGAAGCTTTCTCTCCATGTTTAGTGACAGTACCAGGAGCATCCTCCTCTTCCTCTACTTTTGGTTCCATAAGTACAATAGTATCTTGAGATGGATTGGCGTCTGAGTCCTAAAAGATAAGTAATTTCAATTAATGGGTAGGGGATGGCACTGACCAAATTAGTCAGTCAGACATTATGGAAATTGTAAAGAGGATTTCTCAACTTTTAATGAGAATCAGGGTCACTTTAGCATCGATTTTCAGAGATATCGCAATTTTACTCAAATGAAGAAAAAATTTTCAAGGTTCCACTTTCATGATTTTCAAGAGAACTGATAACAGATTAAAATTACCATAATGTAATACAGATAGCTGAAAGTGGTCACTATAAAGCATTGAGATGACTATTTTTTTTTCACTTACCTGATTATTACTCTGAGAAAGCCTGGTTGATCTGCCCTTGGTGTTTTTATAAGAATGAATCAACCATGGTCTGGCATGGGGGAAACAAACATAACGTCTGGTATAGATACCCACTGGCAGTATCTAAAAATATATAATACATTAACCAATAATTATAATAATAGTAAATTCTTTATTTTACATATGTCAGAATTAGCTCCATTACACCCAAGTGACATGGGCCTGTCTAACATTCAGTCCATGGGGAGGAACATGACTCTTTATTTTACATGTCTCAGAATCAGGTCAATAAAGTAACATTCAGCCCATGGGGATGCACATAGATGTAATGTATAATAATCCGTCTGGCTTCAATTTGATATAAATACATTAATCCAGATCTGCATTCTAATCACCTTAAACTACACCTGCTTCGATCTTGCCACACTTATTGGCATTATTTTAAAGATAACTCAAAATGGAGACTGTCGGAAATTGATAATGAGTTGACAAACTCAGTTTTAGAATGGAAGCAAGCAACTTTGCCATACAATCTGTTTCCAGATAGCTTGCCAATATAACATATACACCCACACACGTAATATGGTGATAAGTGTGATTCCTTCTGGCTCTTGTTCAAACTTCCACAAAGTCATTAACATTTTCTATCTTTCACAGTGTATTATATGTATGTCCTCATAAGTTTATATTATTTCTTATATGTTTTTTTTTACCATTTAAATTAAATTTGTAATCTGATCAAAGTCAACTGACATTATTTTACTATCTCCCACTGTTTATTATAGGTATGTCTGTAAGTTTATATTATTCTTCCTATGTTTTTTTCCTGTCTTTATCAACTCAGTTTTTCAATTAAACATGAATTGAGATTAAAATTAATCAAAAAATTGTTATCTCCAATGTGAATTATCTTATGTCTGTTTTTTTGTATTTTTGTCTTTAGTCATTCTTGTGTTACAAAATAATCCCACAAGAGTAAGACAAATTGATCTTAATCTTAAGCTAAATACAATAGCACGTGAGAAAACCAATACATTTAAAACCATTCTATATGATTAATACTTGTATGTATAACTCATTTAAGAAGACAAATCATAAAAAGAGTTGAAATTGTAATAAAATTAAATTGAGGGAGATACCTAATCACAAACAGCTAACATACATGGTCAACTTTCATCATATTGTATAAAGACAAGAACTTAAAACTATAGACAGTGGAAAGACCTAGTGATTCCCTGATCAGTAATTATTTCACTTTTGGAACTCAATAAAAATGGATTTCTACATTCTTAACATTCTTTTCAGGAAAACTTAAATTTGGATTGACAGAAAGTTTAAAAATATACCTCAGGCATTGATTTTTGAAAGTAAAATGAAAAACAATTGATTTCAGATCTCCTTCGTGTGGTAAAACATTTAAAAATAATTAGAGAATTGATCACGTAGGTGGCCTAGTAAAATAATTATATACTCTACAGTTATTAATATATATATAATAATCAATATATAGGTAAAAAGAGGTCAGTATAGAGCATTTATGGGTACTAATCATGTCTTCATTTTTACTTGTAATTTCAGTTGACCCACCTGTAAATGGGTAAAGAAAATCCGGGAAAGATCAATGCCAGACTAATAACCAGCTTGTAGAAGGGATCTTTTATGAACTTAGGTTGAATTATCCTTGTTAAAAATAGTTGTTTGTTTCTTTCTTTCTTTCTTTTACAGTCTCACATTTGACCATTCCTGTAACATGTTTGCAATGGTGCAGTTTGGCTGAGAATTTGATGAGTATCTTCTTCATTTGTCTCCACATTTTCAGAACTATGAAGTTTGAATGCTAAAGAAAAAGCAGACCTTCATAACTTTTGTTTGTTCACCTGAGATGCTAGACTCCTTCAAATCCATACTTTTGGTCTACGGGTAGAAGGGACAATAAACTGACACACTAATTGCTACAGACAGTACATCTTAAAGATTACTTTAAAGTTGAATGAAGATGGCAAAGTTTGCTTCATTACATATCACATGACACTTTCTTCATTAGCCAAACCAGTTGTAAAATTGCAGGATATAAAACTCTCATTTCATTTTGAACTGCAGGCATTATAGAAATGGAAGATGAAGATAGCTGCAACCTACAGTATCCTGTCAGAAGAAATAAATTATCAATCCACTTTAATTAGGCCAATTAGTGCACATGATTATTACTTTGAATTTAGGTTGATTAAATATTAAGAGGTTTATAAAGAATGAAATTGGATGATAAAATCTAAAGTACAGGTACTTGGGTAAATTTTTTCCTTACATGCAAAAGTGGAGTTGCCTATAAAAACATAAATGTTACTATCTCCATCAACATTAAAGAAATAACTAAAGCTCTAAAGAAGAAAGAAATTGTAAATTAATCTCTGTAATTGTATACTAAATATTAGATAAAAAACAGACGTTACAATCTCCATACTTAATTTTCTACGCAGATGATAAGTGGAGTTGCACTTATAAACATGAATTGTTTTAAAATAAACCTTTAAATGTCTGAAATTTAAATTCTTCTCAGAATTCCCTCTAGAGTCTGGAACTTTTCCTAATAACTTTCACAGTACATCAGAACTCTTTAAAGAGAGAGTATGACTGTGCTGATTTCCTTGGCTTGGCATTCTTAGAAATATATAATACTTAAAGTTAAAACTGATGGCTTTGATAAAAACAAGAAATATCTAATCAAACTGTTTGAAAGTTAATAAAACAAGGATTACTCCATCTATTGATATTCATGGAAAACAAAAGAATAAGTTTTAAAATGGTCACACAAATTGATAAATCTGCAAACAAGGGATTTTTTTTAACTCATATCCCCCTTCAACTTCCTGTCATTTTTTTTAACTCTGAGACTCCAATCAAACTAAAACTAGAGCAATAAAACTTAAATTTTTAGTTTCCACTATCTCACATATTTTTTTATCAAGAAACAAACTTTACAAGACACACTTTGATTGATTGAAAATACTACTGTTGGAACAGGCCTTTGTAAAAAACTTCTTAGATTCCGTGGCGGAGTCAGGTTTAGGTCCGAGATTGCCCGGACCTAGTTATGAGATTTTTTCCCGAAAAACTGTGAGGGGGGGGCTGCAAGGGGGGGCAACTGCCCCCTCCTTTAGCTCTGCCACTTCTTAGATTGCAATGCAAACAAAAATATCAGAAAAAAAGATATGAAAATTGTAATCATACCCTAGCACATCCAAAGATTAAGATGTATGATGTAATTGATGGTGGTAACTTGTGTTCCAGTTTGACCCCTTTATCAACAGAATTGAACCAATCTGACAAGACTTCCGAAGGTAATCAAGATAAGAATATCAAGGTTGTAATCTACATAATAATGTCGTGTAATAATTGTGGAAGTGGCCATATCGTGAGAAATGGAGTCATTGACTTGTGATTTCTAATTGTATGGAATCATCTGGTTATCATTCCTGACACTACAGTGATTGATCTACTTCGCCTCTTTGAAGTCTTGTTTCCGTGACGATAATTCCATCACGTGTGGCCATCTTTGACAACTCTTCTTCAGCCATCTTTCATCAAACGATTGTTATCTTTTGATATTTTGAAAGGAATAAAGCTTTCTTATTCTCACAAAAAAAAAAAAAGTCTTAAAGACATATTGGGACATTTTCATGAGAAAGTGTGATTCTTATAGATAGCCTCATAGCTCGTGGTAATGATCTTTGCTTAATTGCTGGCTGGAGATCCAATTTCATCTGCCATGATAACAAGGGAATATAACTTATTTAACTTTCACTATTAGAACTGTGTCTTATACCTTGACTGCAATAGTCACACTTCTTGTATCACGGATACAGCGATTGGATTGTAAGCCAGCGACTACAGCAAATCAAAGCTCTTGACAAACAACCTGTTAACATTATAATATTTATTATTTCAGATTTTCTTGGCAGAATTCACTAACATACAATCAAATCAAACTTTAATAATACAAGAACGCTGGTTATTGCAGTCAAGGAATAGACAAGGTTCGTAATAGCCAGATATTGTGATGATGGGTATATGGCAACTTAACATGGCTGTATGCTGTAAGTTCTACACTAAAGTATGTGAACGGAAAGCTGAAAATGAAACGAAAGAATACAGTGGATTATCTATAATTAGTGGCCTCCCGAGACTGGGGGTACAAATAGGGGGAAGACTGACTCAATGGGGGGAAGAGAAGGGGAACACTTGTCCAGTCTGAATTCAAAATGCAACAGCACTGAGGAACCATCATAGTTGCCTCTCATGGACCTTCTGGGCGGGTTCTTCCATGACAATGTTTTAAAAATTGAATTGATTTGGTGCATTCTGACACATATCTTGGGACCAAACGTATAAAAATCATATTTTTAAATTTGTTGAAAATAAAGTGGGGGTACAAATGAGGGTGCAAATCATTTTTTAGGGTAGCCACCACTTGCACCACCACTGACTATAATAAAAATTAAATGACAGTATGTCTTCAGCCCTCTATAATTCACAGTAGCCATATTGCTCCTTTCTTAGTTTCCTGTCATTAAAGCTTCAGATAAGATCTTCTCATCAACTGGCATCAAAGAGTGGGAAATTAATCAAATTGTGTCCAACGTCTTTGATCCTAACAATGGATCACTGACTTTCATGTTTGTTTATTGTATTAATATCATTGTACAGAAATAAAAGCCTGGTTTGTCCATTCTTATAGCATCTTATTATCTTACTTCAAATAACCCAATCAATGAAACAGAAAACTCAGAATGACCACTTTCTTTCTGCAATATAACATCAAGTGAAACAGTTAAATGAAATGGATTGGGCTAATGAAGAAGGGTAATGCCATGCATTGTGCGATGAGGGAAATTTTCAGGTATTAAATGTACATACAGCTTGTAGCACTCAACAACTACAGTGTGTAGTCGAAACTGAAAATGTTAATTATTGTTCTAAAAAAGCTCAATGTTGCTTTACTTAATAACTAATAATGTATTTTACTATTGAACCATTTTAACCCTGTGTTTCTTAATAATAAATATTAATCTCTATATGGTTTGTCTACCACTTCTTATCATTCTATGACTGAGGATGATGGAGGAAACACATCGAATGTTGCTTAAAAATTTAATCAGTGATTGTTGTTCCTTAATAAAAATCTGTACAAGCAATACAATTGTTAATCAAAGTCTCGTCCAAAGTATGGAGAGTAAAAGTTGTATAGTAGTGGACTCCTCTAAAGAAAAGTGCATAAAGCTGTGTCTATAACAGGGCTCAAAGTGTCACCATATACTATACAATTGATTCAGCCAACTAACATCAACTCTTCTTTCTCACTGATAATTATCACAACTTACTACAGAATCTACTTACTCACAGATCATAGACCTCTTCTTAATTAACAGTCAGTGGTGGGTGGTTGATATAATGACTATAATGTAACTTAGCCATTAACCGAAATACCATTCATTTCTTAGCTTTTTGATGATGTCCTATGTGTATACATGTTTGTCTATATGCCAAGTATCATAAAGTATGGATACACTACCAGCATAAGCATATTGTGGAATGTTGTATTGCAATATATTGATTCACGGATGTATTGGGCCACCAATATTTGTCTATATGCTAAGTATCATAAAGTATGGATACACTACCAGCATAAGCATATTGTGGAATGTTGTATTGCAATATATTGATTCACGGATGTATTGGGCCACCAATATTTGTCTATATGCTAAGTATCATAAAGTATCAATACATGATGATACAACATCTCAGGTATATCACGCCATGTTACTGATATGGTATATCGTTCAAGCACTACTATAAATGATGTACTGATATAAAATAGTATGCTTGTCTAACTTATCTTGTCCATCAAATGAAAGAGATAACTACAATCGTAGTGAAAGCACAGGTCAAGGCACTCGATATTTCTTCTTACCTGAAGAGGATCTATCTTATAATCACACATGTCTTGGAGGGTTATAGTTAAAACAGGCCAATGGCAAAACAAACCAAAAGAAAAATCTAAAATTTGGTCATAAACGACCCTCAAGTCAAAACAGACCCACAAAAAAGTCAAAAATGGTGATCAGATCAGCTGTTTGATAAGGCAGGTCAACTTTCAGATATAAGACTTTAGGTATGAGCAAGGTAAGCAGATGTAAACAAACTGATGTGGCTCCACGCAGGGCTTGCTTACTATTACACCTGATACAACTTTTCATAGTTAAATACTTATTCACTTATGATTGATGTACTTCCTCATGTGAAATGTTTGTTAGGTGTTAGTTGTGACTAATGTTTCGCCAATATGTTTAGATTTTGGGTTTTCATTTTGCAGTGAAAATCATTGGTACTTGGTTTATTTATTGATGATCACGGTGATTATTGGAAGATATTATTCACCATCATTACGCCATGCATAAAATGTTTAATAAAGCCAGAATACTATGAATATTAAATGAGAATAAATCAGAAATATGTCCCTACTGATTATATCTTTCATGGTTAGCACAGAAAATTAATTATATTTTAATTACCTGGAACCTTGGATCAAGTAGAAATTACCAAGTTCAAATCAACATGGAATATTCTCTTATTATCATGCTATTAGGCCTAATCTGTTAATCTGCTGAGTGTGTATGTCAACTTTTCTCATAGCTTCAAGTCCAAATATTGGATTTACACCAAATTTCAATCCAAGTTGCTTTTATGAGGATTTTTACATACAAACCATGCATGAAAGGAAAGAATGAAAAAGAACCTTAGCAACGATATCACCTAGGTTCACCAGCTAAGCCTCTTGAAATTCCCAGATTACCCATACACCAGCTAGGTCATAGAATGTTGAAAAAAATACTTGACAGACTTGCAAACAGATTAGAAACCACAACTATTTATAATCAAGTTTCAGTTAGGGTCAAGTATTTTCTGTGGGTGTGGGGGCCCCTGAACTTGGTTCAACTAGCTCTTAGAGCCCAGAGCAAGTTTCTAACAACTGAATATAGCTTACAGAGTAAAGAGCTAGCAAATGTTTGACTCTCAAGACATGATGAATTGATATGACAGTATAAAAGAAACATAAAACTTCAGATTGTCTTTAATAAAAACAGGAAACAAAGGAGCTTCCTGCCCTCATTTATTCCTGCAGGACAATAGTTATAGTTGTATAGAATTTAACATGCTACATCCTCATTTATTATAGTAACTAAATATATATTATAGTAGCCTATCTAGAAACAAAACATGTAGAGGAATGGTAATCAAGTAAAGACCAACAAATATACATTTATCTATTATGTTAGCACCTTTTTAGGCAGCAAACAGCATAATACAATAACAATACACATTTGGCAGGTTTAATTGAAGAAAAATAATTACTAAATATCGTGATCAATTGACAGCACAGCTAAAGTCTACACAAATAAAACCAAAAGATCTAACATGGGGCTTATTCTCGAAAACTTTTAAGAAATGCAGTGATTTAGTGATTGATCAATCAGATGACAGGAATATTAAAATCAAGTAATGTTAATTTTTTCGAGAATAAGGTCGCCTGTATTTAACTGAATAAACAACCTCATCATATCTATTAGTAGTAGGAAATATAATATAGATGACAATTTTAGCACTTTGAAATATCAGAGATATCAAGACGATTAAAAAGATAATATCTTCATTATGACAGACTGTTAATTAAAATGAAATATAATCTTTGAATAACATTTAGAAATAAAAAGAACAATAGATAAAAAAAACCCAATATCATAGATCACATGTGCCACTGTTGGCAGAGACTAAAAGACAGTGAGGCTAGAACAATATTATGTTTGCAGCAAAGAAAAGGTTTATGTGTATCAGGTATACTGATAGCATTGATTTGCAATTTTCAATCAGATGTCTCTCATAAGTATAGAAATTCCACTAAGTGTTATATTTCCTTAGATATTATTAGTAGCTCCTGTGATGGTGAAACAGACCTCTGACATATCCCTCTCTCAAATATACACAGGCACCTATATCTATGTATGATTGTAAAGACATTAAACCACAAAACACCCAGTCTAGGGCTATCTCATTTCCAGTATTGAATAGTTTAGTTAGTCATCAGAAAGCTGTTGACACTGAAGCTTGCGAGCAACATCCACTGACCAAGTCATAGTGTGGTATCAGGTGTTCATCAGATGTTTACTAATGTCATTAACTAACCTAGTTTGCATAATTACAATCTGAATCAAGATGTAGTCTGAAAACACACACATACTGCATAATTCACTTCTACAGACAGAAACAGACCTCCCAATGGAATTAATATCTGATGTTTCTGACAAACCTCAATTGCCCCTTTAAATGTCATTTCAGACAAACTTACTTAACCACTACATCTCCCACAGATCAAAAGTGACAATGTTTTTGTAAAAAGTGTAAAGCAAACTCAATAATAAGACTAACTAAGTCATGGTTTCTTCAGTATAAGGTGAGAATTGTAAAGTGTAAGACCCTCCCTGTAGAATTCCTGTCAACTGGTTCTGACATACAAGCAACA